AGACTAGAGGAAAACCTAGGCATAATCTCGTCCCCGAACCAAAAGGAATAGTTCACATGCATGAATATTAAAGAATGCAATTCAAACCAATCTGGGCTGTCACATTAGTTTGGATGATACACAAACCCACTTGGATAGCCCACATGTTTCGGTAAGGTGTCATTTATTGCACAGTGCATTTGTCATTATGTTGGCTTATGGACTCCAAAGTGCAAGTAAAGCACATTCATATTTGTGTTTTGAGACCAACCTATTAATATTTAATGGGTCTATAGGATGTGAATAAATGTGGAAGGATACCTACTATTTGTTGAAAGTACATGAAATTTCATGATTACTTCTATTGGAATATGAGAATTACATGATAAATTTGATGGTTGATTTCATGTCCTATTGGAATGTTGATAGCCGCAATTAAGTGAGATAATCTTATGCAAAATCGTGTTTGCATATAAATGTGACAAAATGTGATTTTGTTCAAAAGTAAATAAGGTGAATATATGCCTTATTATTCGAGATGATATAATGTTAATCTTATTCATTAATTGAATTTTACTTCAATCGAGGAACCAATTTAGTTGGCTTATGCTTGAAAAGCATTAATGGTCTTTCGAGATGACCTTGATCAAATCAAAGATAGTCGGGGTTAACATATTGATGAACTCTAAGTTCGAGTATAACCCTAAATATGGGAATTATCAATAACGCTTGTGGACTTATATGAGAAGTTCAAGATGCAATATTACAAGATCGCATAAGAATTCCTAATTAAGAAATTGTGGGGATAACTTAATTTAAAAGTTACGATTTCCTAAACCTTTTAATCATATAAATATATCTATGAAGGAGAAAATGTGGAAACCCCTTATATATAATTATAAGATGGATACACTAAGTCTAAGATGGATAAATTGGGTGAAAGCCGACTATGGCATTTGCAAAACAATTTGAATATTTAAAGATTATTCATGCTATTGAAAATCATTATAATAATTCAATGATTTACAAGTGATACCCAAGTATGAAATCCACAATAAAAGTGATTTGACTAGTGTAATGATTTGATGGAAATTATTCAACGGTGTTTTGAAAATTAATAAGGCTTTAAATAAAGCGAGTGAGAAGCATGTGGCTTCTTAGTGGTGACAAGTTGTATCTATCAAATGAATCGATCATTGGCTAGTCATATTTTGATAAGATACTAAGTCACATTGAATGAAAAGTAAAGACTAAGTCTTAGAGGTAACGTCACAAGGAAATGATCAAAGATGGAATAATTTCTAAAGAGAATTTAGCGGATCCTTTAACTAGACACTAAATAAAATTTTAGTGGCATCTACTTTGAGTAAAATGAGGTTGAAACTCCTAAAATATAAAGGTCCACCAATGACGGCAACTCTACCTGTCATTACTCAAAAGATAATCAACGGGTTCAAAGGGTACTAACAAGTCATTTGATATGTGGATGGTTGCAGCATTATATAAATCCGCAATAATCATATCCTAATTAAAATAATACTAGTTGTTACTGAAATGAGGGTTGAACTTTAAGCTCTTAATGAAGTTCAGTGATAAAACACAAGTACCTCTAAAGGTAACAAATGTACTGGAAGAATTTCACCTAAACAAACTTCGAGGTGGTGCCACCTCAATAGAGAGTTGGAGTTTTTCTCTTAAAAGTTTGTTGAAAAGGATAAGCGCAAGGTCATATGAGCGCTAAGCGAGATTGTGGAACTTGAGAACACGTAATGATCGTGTGTGTATCCTTACCGGTATTGTCACATGGAATAACTGGTTCAAAGCTTCACGCTACCTTTGATTCCGACTTTACTTTGTTTGTATTACACTATGGTTAGATTCAAATCGAAAGATATCTAATCCTGAAGCATGAGTATTGTATATTTTGAATATGAGAGTTTACTGAATTTTGAACAAGTGAGGAATTGATGAAAATTTGTTGTTCAAAACAATAAACATGCATGGAATGGAATGGATTGGAACGAAAATGTGGACTGGAGGCAGCCAATTAAGCCCATGCCCATGCGGTTGCATGGCCTATTACTGAAACTGGAGAGGCCAGTTTGAAGAACTCCATGCGACCGCATGGAGTTATACCATGAAGTCGCATGGAGTTATACTAACAAGTGATCGTTGGAGGTCGTTTCTAGTAGTTTTTTGGCGACTTTTGAAGGGTTTTCTTACAACCTTTCAACATGGTTTTGGCACAAATTCGTGGCATTGATTGATGCCTATAAATAGGCTATGGATGATCAACGGAAAAAAAATCATATTACAAACATATGATTCATTCTTTCTTTCCATAAGAAGAAACCAAAGTCTTTTTCATCCATATTCAAATTTCCCTAGTGTTCCTCAAGTTTTGGAGAGTCACACAAGTGCTTAAGTGTTTGATTCTCTACAAGGCTTGATTAATCCTACAAATCATGCCGCGAAACCCTTTAAGCACCAAAATTATATACGAGAGGGGGCAAATATCATTTAAGGACAGCGATATAATGTCGTGTTTGAGCCTTCATATTTATTTAGGTTTTTTCCCATTATTTTCATCTTTTTGAATTTTCGTTTCTCGGTTTCTTCTCCAAACCCCGATGTGATAATTTCCCAACCGACATTCTTGTTGAACCGGATCATGTTGTCTTAGGTGTTGAAGCTATACCTTTGTGGCCATTTATGTAGTCTAAATCGAGTGTTAAAAGTTTTGTTATGACAATCAAATGTTTGCCGAAGTGGGAGAATGTTGGAATAATTCTAATGCAGACTTCCCATTTGATTGTTTATTTTACGGATTAGATATATGAATCACAATGATATTGTTATTGGGCCAAAATTTATTAAGTAATCAATTGTGCCGTTTTATACCTTATGGGCTATATTTAATATGATGTAGTAATTTTAAGTATATGGGCTAGATATACACATAAACCCTAATTAGAGTTTAAGTCGTAATGGAACAACTTGATAATTTCCTATATAAAGGTTATGTCCCTTCTCCTCTCTATATTAGTTTATTAGCTTGCTCCCATTAACGACTAATACTCTGTGAAGAGCAAGGAGGGAAATATCTAGTTACTGTTATACAAATCAATCATGTTTTCCTCATGTATGAGTTAATTGAATATTCTTCAATTATTTGTGTCATCTCTTAACAAGAAGGCTAATCAAATTGATTATTCATCAAACATATGTCATCAACTACAACTCGTGATTTTAGTGTAGTGAATACTATTGAAGCATCATTATCGAAGTATGATGATTTCTTAGAGTTTGTTGTGACAATATTTTTGTGTGGTAGTTATGAGAACAATTGTCACAATTTATGGTAGATCGTATGTCGGAAAAAAGTTTGGACACTACCACAATTGGTAGGGTACTAGTAAGTATTTTTTGTATGGTAGCTATAAAGTCAACAATATTTATTGAAAATTAATAATTGACTTGTGAATGAATTTCCAGAACTGCTATTGCTATCTTGTCTACTTTATACAATGCATAGAATATCTCTGCTTTATCTTGAATTTATATCAAATAGTCGTGGTTACGCATTTTTTATTTTATAAATATTTTGTAATATTTGGGGTCATGGTACTGGTCGCCGGGTTAACCAAAAACTCAATGTAAGGTAGGTCTAGAGAATTTTGAGGCTTAGGGACTAACTATTATGAACTAGTCTAGATGTACAGATTTTTTTTTATAGACCTACAAATAACACATATTGGTGGCGTAGGTGGTTTATTTTTTGGAATAAAATATTCACATGGGGTCACCCCATGTGAGATTTATGTGGAATTTCTAGCAATGATTTGTCTGTATACTTGATTTTTCCAACTATTATAAGGCCCTAAATATAACTTATTTTTACAAGCGTAGCAATAATCAAATATTTAAATAAATAACGCATTTATATTAAGGCAAAGTCTATGCAATCGAAAAGATAGATTAACAAAATAAAGCCCTTGTTTGATCCTCATTTTGGAGAAATAATGCATTTTGAATAGTATATTGATAAAAAATGTGTGGTTAAAAATTAAAGAAATATTTTGGATTTACGTGTAATATTATTTTATTGAAAAATGTGCGATTAAAAATAAGTTTTGAAAATATGAATTTTTAAAAGAATGTGAATCAAATAAGGGCAAAATATTTCTCATGATCCAATAAATTAGGCTAGCATAATATTTAACATCAATCTCTCTTGTGATATAATTAATCAAATATATTATTTAATTAACTTCAACTTTGAAATGCTTCTTTCAATGGAAGCAACGATGTTAGGAATAGTCCAAAATAATCTATAGGTATCGATTTCTTTAAGAGTTTTGGCTCTAAAAATAATTTTACCCTATCAATATCAAAAACCATATTATACGTCAACTATATATATATATAGTTGACCCTGAATTATTCTTCGACTGTTTGTATAATCTTTTCACAAGAAGTCTCATTAAACTGATTTTCTTCTCTCTCTTTTAATGCTTTTCACGAAATATCAATTTAATTTCTAATTCACTTGCCATGTCTATAGCATCACCTATTTTAGCCTCAACCTTCCTCAAGAGTATAATTCTATAAAAATTCAACTAGTAATCTATGGTTGTTTTCCAAAAGTTAAAATAAATAAATAAATAACGTATGTTCCAATAGAATTTTGAGAAACGACTAGTTTTACTTTCTCATATCGAAATTTGCTATAACCATATGATTTTGTGTATACCTGATGGCCCTCGGAAGCATAATCACTAGACCCCCCACCTTGTCACTAGCATAATTGAAACAATGACAATCGTCAGGTTCCAAATGAGGTCAAGCACGAACATCGGCTTCGGGTTTGAGGCCCTAGTCGATTGCCTAGGTGACCTTGGCACAAGGCCAAGACTCGATGGTTAACTGTGACTTCGATAACTTGGCAAGCATTTTCATGGGTTCAACTCTCCGAACCTCGTGCTCAGATATTCCAGAGGTAAAGTTATGAAGCGCACGCATTTAATTACCAACTCCACTTTAATTATAATAATTTAAACGGGTTGATAGTATTTGATACAGTTCAGAAGAATCCTCCCTCGTTCTTACTTAAACCAGCCACTGCAACAAGTATATCATCAATACACACACACCAGAAGACATCTCAGGCCAACAAGAAATAATAATAAACTTCAAGATAACATGTCCGTCCATTACCACTATGGAGAGATAGCCAGTGTATAACAAGTGCTGACATTTTCATCGGTGATGGTGGTTGCATCACTACTGCTGGTAGATTTATTTTCAGTAAATTCTTGAGGGCTTGCCGGTTTGGCGTTCAAGTTGATGCTGCCATAGGCGACTTTTGGTATGGCCTGAGAAGTGCAACCACTCTGAGAAGTAAACCGTGCTCCGTTAGCCAATTCTGAATCCAAAACCATCCTTTTGGTCCCTCTATGCATGTGCGAATTACAGTAATTTTGACCCTGAACAACATCCTTGCTGCATCGCCACTTTTTACCATCCGTTCTCTTGCATCTGTGTGGTTCAGCTTCTGTGAGGGTCTCCTTAAGCGAGCCCAAGGTAACACATCTTGAACCTGTTTCAGTAAGGTAAAAAAATAAGAATAGTTTTAATTTTGCATTGCCTGGTTAAATAACAGAAAAACCTTTGAAAAGATCAAATTAAAGCCTATAAGCCAACGAACTTCAGACCAGTCATAATTCACTCCATTTCGATACATGTTGACCAACTAATTTTTTAACAATCTTTTCATGCTTAACATAGCTGCCCAAAGACAAAAAGAACCATAGATTATCTTAAAGGAGAGAAGGGCAAAAAGCAAACAATCAACGACCACCAACACCCTCGCCGTTTCAATTTCAGCAGTAGCACGAGTAAAAATTGAATGTGGCAGTTAGACAATTTGGAAGTGAGTTAAGTTGCTCCACCTAGCTGCGTTTGGAAAACAAATGTAGCAAATATGAGGTGAGTAAATATAACTCTTCAAATAAGAAAGGGCAAGAGTTCACATAAATTACCATGGAATTTGCAATCTGGGAATTTGGTTGCCTTGGTGTTGTTTTACCAATAAAATTACCAAAACGACGCAGTTGACACAAGTGTTTTCCTTCTACCAGACCAACTTCTTGCATAATCTTGAAGTCCTAAATTTTGAGTATTATTAACACTAGCACATAAAAATACACTTTAATCTTTTGTCTGTTAATGTTGCCATAACTTCTAGAACTTATTTGCTACTGAGGGTAGGACATTTCTCAACCAGTGAGATTTGCCTTCCTCTATCTTGAGTTGAACGACTTATTTGACTTTTCTTTTTCAACACAATATTTCCAGAAACCTCAATGGAATTTTGGTTATTCCTAGAGTGATAGAAGTGAAGCTGAATTTTGGTTATTCCTAGATTGATAGAAGTCTAGCAGACCAAGAATGCCGATCAAGTCATCCAACTGAAATGGAGAGCAGAGGAGAAAATGAATATATCTAATACTTTTCCAAGATATAATTTATCTGCATCTAAAGAATCAATTCCAACAAATATTGAACAAAAAAAAAAGAAAAAGAAAAAGAAAGAAATTTATTTCTTTCAAAACCTTTTTTAGCTCTGGATTGATGCAAAAACTTATTTTTTTGTACAACCTAGTGTAGACATATCTCAATTAGAAGGGGTCTTAGATATAGCTGCTTTATCTTTTCCATAGATGATATGAATCACTCTATTCCAAATCACGCGAGCAGCCATACCTTCTCAATTCTTATACTGCTTACATGATTGCTGGCAAGGCTGCTTACATGATTGCTGGCAAGGCTTATTCTCAATTCAAGATACAGTATTGACATTTTTAACTAACCAAAAAAGCCAAGATTTGTCCTCCATGAGGTCAACATTGGATCCCAAATATAGTCATCAAAATCTATGCAGAAAAATTACAAACTACACGTATATGCATAAATAAAAGGATGTCAAGCACATCTAAGTATACTCACTGCTAACACTTTGAAGAATGCTATCTCGGGAAACACCAAATCCAGGAGAATTGGAACCAGCATAATTGTTCTCAAACACATTATTGTTTCTGATCTGGACTTTCCTGGCTTTGACATTGTTAAAGCCAGCATCCTTGCCTTCAGAGTCATGATTTCCGTTTTTCATGCTGCTATTTCCAATAGCCTCTTTGCCAGAAGCCCTGGTGGGGGTGATAGTAGCGGCATTGTAAGCATCACCATTGAGATTGTTCTTAAGTTCAACATTATGCCTGCAGGCCTTGATGGTTGGTTGAATAAAGTCATGATTTTTGTTGCTTCCATGTTTGATTGCTGGAACACCATTGCTAGGATTGGAAGACGAGAAGGTGAGATCAAGGTCAAATGGGATAGAAGAACTTATAGGCTTAATTCTGATGTCGGGTGTAAGGGTATCATAACTGGGATCTGAGATAGTTTTAGAAGGTATATTTATAATGTTGGATGTAAGGATTTCATTATCGGCGTCAGATTTAGAACGTTCCACATGCTTTCTTGAACACTTACGACCTCTGTGCATATGCCGCTCACAATATTTCTCTTTTGGCAGAGAATTATTGCTACACCTCCACTTTCTTCCATCAGTTCTTCTACACCTTCCCAGTTCAGGATCCATCATACTCCCATGATCCGAATTCTGAATACTGAAACCTGTGACTGAATACAATAAAAAATTATGAAAGCATTCGATCTGACCTTTGCCCTTAATTTTTTGAATTAATGCAACCCCTTTGGAGTGAAAGACAATGAAATGTAGATGCCAATTTTTAAAGTCAGCCTTCGGATCAATTTGCAATTATCTAGAAGATAACAGAGAATTTAAAATGTTAGTCCAAACCCATTTATCCACAATAGAATAAACCACACCTTAAAATGTATCTAGCACCAAAATTTTAGCACTCATGGTTTGAAACCAATCTCCAATTTAAAGATTGACGAAGTTGAGCTGCGTATCCTATCAGTAAAATAAATCATATACTGTTTGTAGAGATACACAACTTTGTCGTGTCTACCAAGTGCTATAAAATCCTAAAGGGCTCCAAAACAGAGAAAAGAAATGAGAAAACAAACAAAAAATACCCAAATAACAAGAAAGATGGTCTCTGCATTGCTGCTGTTAATCAGAAGCGAGGAATATTTCTGTAACAATTTCCAAAACTCAGAACAGAGTTCAAACAGAGAGATTGTGATCTACAATTAGCTGGAAATGTCCCGGCCATTTATATCTTTTGGTGCAATGTTCAGTATATTGGATTGGACATATCGAGCGGATTTAAAATATAAAATAGTGAAAATCTAATATGCTATTAGGGTGTTGCCCATTACCGTGTAACCTACTGTGTGTCCCTGAAGAAATCAAAGGCTAAGCAATGTGAAGTTACCAAGCAAAAGACCTAGTGCAGAAAATTCTTATTCATAATCAAACTCAAAATATGTGACTACAAAAGAAGCGTTTCTCACTAGATCCATTTCACCCTGAATCTAATATCTGACGTAAACTTGAATGCTAGCTAATTTAATTTTGTCAAATTTCAATCCAAGTTCAATACACATATAACCGAGGCACCATCATTCTTGGCGTTCCTCTGTAAAACTGCATGTATGCAATCATAGAAGGGGGGAAAGAAGAACCAGAAAACCCAAAAAAAGAATTCATAAATCCCACAAAAAAAAATTCCATAAAAACAGGATTAATTCAGAACACATAATTCCCATATCATCCCACAAAAAATTTAGAATAGAATACTCACAGCTGGGATCGGACTGAAATATACTCTTCCAAATGGGTAAAAGGAAGTGAAAGGGCACAGGGAGACCATAAGCTATGAAATTGAAAACAAGAGTCTGATAGTACAGCTCCCGTAATTGTTCTGCAGTGAACGAAGACTCTGCCTTTTCTTGTTTTTGTCTCACGGGGTTTATGTGTCCACATCCAGCAATTCCAAGTTCAAGCTTAACTAATGATGACGATTCTTCCCTTTTCTTACTTTCTGCATCAATACCTTCAAAAATACAAAACCACAAAATTCAAATCCTTGAATATACATGCACGATACATTCATGTATAGAAAAGGAGCATAGAGAAAAACAGAGAGGAGACCTGCAGAGAGAAAAAAAGCTGGTAGGGTTTGGGAATGCATCGTTTACCCTTTTCATGGGAAACAGGGAGTCTGAATTCTGAAACTGCAGGCAACTGTGGAAAAGCAAAATCTGCACTCTGTGTATTTGTATACGCATTAAACAGGGTGTCGTGACAGGTACAGCTTTTTGCGTTGGAAATACATAAAAGCCAAACCAAACCGCTTCAATTTAAAAGAAAAGGGTATAATCATTCATTACGCGCATGCAGCCACCCATTCGGGCCATTGCTTTCGTGTGTAGAGAGAGAAATGGAAGGCGTTTTGTTGTCAGAATCATTTATCTGTCAGCTTTTTTGTGGAGGTGGATTGAAAGAAAACAGGAATTTCGTGATAGATAAAAGATCCTTGGCCACTGAACGTTATGGTTAAGCTCCTGTTTGGCCCCCTCTCTCTTTCAAATTTTGTTTTCTAATCATACAATCTTTCATAAAATAATATAATACATAAATCAAGAAAATTTCTTCTTTTTCAACACACATTCTCTAAAAAAATACTATTCCAAATATTAAGAAGTGTTTGATACCCATTTTTATGAAAAAATAAATTTTAAAATAGTAAATTGATACAGAATGTATAGATAAAAAATAAGAAAAAATTTTGATTTACATGTAATATTATTTTAATAAAAAATATGTGATTAAAAATAATAGAGAAATAGAATAGTGTATTTTGATAAAAATAAAAATCAAACGGGGCATGAAATTTGAAAAAAGTAGGTCAAATAGGACTTAGTGTTAGCATGATCACCCAATTATATTTTATTTTACAATTGCCATCCAATTTTATAGTTAGTATCATCATGATTATCCAATTTGATTTTATTTTATCATGACTATCAAATTTCATATAGATAAATTTTGGTGTACATAATTTGGGTACATAGAGATGTCTACACCCCTCACATGGGGTGGGGCACAATGACATTCTAACTTCTTTTCATCTTTTCCCCTAATTTTGAAATGGGTAAAATGGTAATTTTACATTATATATAAAAAATTTAAAATAAATAATTTTTTTTTAAGTAACATTTTTTCAAAATAAGTTTTTATTTTATTTTATTTGTTTAATGAACCTTTTTTTAATTAAATATTTTATTTTATTTTTTTAAGTGACTTCTTTTTAATAAGTTTTTAATCTTTTAATTTTTTTAAAAAATACATTTTTGTTTTATTTTAAAAAACATTTTTAAATGAATTTTTATTTTATTTTTTTAAGTAACTTTTTTTTGTAAATAAGTTTTTATTTTATTATTTTAAGTTTTCAATATGTTTTTATTTTATATATAATGCAAAGTTATTGTTTTACCGTTTTTAAATTAATGAAATGGGTGAAAAGAAATTCGGTGGTCATGATGAAATATTATATGAAATTGGGAGACCATGATGAAATGTTATATGAAATTGGGTGATCGTAGTGAAATAAAATCAAATTGGATGGTTGTGGTGATACTAAGCCATTGTTTGAGCCTCATTTTGGGGAAAATAATGAATTTTTGAATAGTATATTAATGAAAAATGTGTGGTTAAAAAATAAGAAAAAAATTTGGATTTGCGTAATATTATTTTATTAAAGAATGTGTGGTTGAAATGATATTAAACCCCTATTTGTTTCCCATTTTTTCTTCATTAAAATGAAAAATATGATCGTTGTCCATCACATCAAGCCACGAAATTTGAATTTCTATCTCTTGTGTGAGTCCCATAACGGTTATATTTTTCATTCTCATTTTTGCAAAAATGGAAAACAAACGCCCCCTAAAACACTGTTGAAAAATGCATTTTTTCCAAATAATGGAGCTCAAACATGAGCTAAGTATAAAGTTGGATGATCATAATAAAATAAAATCAATTTGAGTGGTCATTAATGAAATTAACCCTAAAAGAGACGTGCGGAATAGGGGTGAGCACGGTTTGATTTTGGCGGTTTATGGTATATTTTCAACTCAAACCATTTCATGCGGTTTGGAATAATTCCAAACCAAACCAAACCATTTAATTTTTCAAACCAAACCATTATTTAATCCACAGTTTTTCTATCGATATTATACTGATATGTTTAAAACAAGTTAACATATAAATTTAAACGAGAACCAGTAACGTTAAATATTAAATCACATTCATATTTGTCTGAAATTCGATATATAAACAAAAAGGCAAAAATATAATATTAAGTTAGTATCTAACAACAAGCACTTCACTCAAACTTTAACAAGCAATAATATCATAGTAAGTACAAGAGTACCAACCTCTCATTTGATAAAAATTGGATCAATATCCCCCATTGTAACACATGATTCGGCTTCTGTATAATATGCAAATATCAAAATATTTATTAGCCCTTATTAATGATATTAACAGGCAACTAAGAAACAATATGCATAAAAATATCAAAATTGATAATAGAAAACAAATGTCACCTTCTATAGCTTTCTCCGAGTCATCCAATGCCTCTACCTCATCCAAATATTGACGAAATAGTATAGGTTCATTACTGCTATGCAACCAATTCTCCGTGAATATTAAGGCCCCAATCATCTTTGCACTCAATGAACTCCTAAATGATTCAAGAATCCAACCACTCATGGAAAATGCCGACTCTGAAGCGACTGTGGATATTTGAATTGCTAATACATCTTTGGCAATTTTGGAGACAATTTTATACTTGTGCTCATTCAATTTCCACCATACTAATATGTCAAATTTGGGATTGGTCAAATCTTCACAACGATCAGACAAATAATCAACCAAATCATTCTTCTCAGATTGCATATTTTGCATAAGTTTAGCTTTAAAAATAGAAGGAATCTTTTTAGAAAGACCGAAAGAAGATTGTGAAGGACTTGGACTACTATTTTTGGTAGTCTCCTTTGATAAAGTCGATGGTGGAGTGATCGGCATTGCCATTTCTTCATAGCATGCATACAACCTGTGGAGTGTCTCTTCAACTTTTTTTTAACAACATTTTTGCAATTTCTACATCATAAATTAGTTCAAACCCAACTTTAAGAAGTTCCAACTTGCACCTTGGGTCAAGAAATGTTGCTATAAACAACAATTGATTAAACTTTTCAACATTGCCTCAATACTTATCATATATTTTCCGCATACTGATTGCCATGGATCCCATCAAAGTGTTAAGCTCTTTAGCTAATTCATTCAACTCTCCATGAATTTCACATATTTCTTGAAAGAAAGAGTTAGAAGTTACATACTTCGAGCAACTAAATTTTAAAGTCATTTCATAGAAAGTCCTCAAGAACCTAACAAATACTTCTGCTTGATCCCAATCGACATGTGTTGGTGGTCCATTTATATTTCTTCCATCGAATCTATCTTCATTAAAATAGTTTGTGTAATTTCCATCGCTTTCCAAACTAACAAATGCTTTTTTAAACTTTAATTTCTTCTTCTCAGTTAGAAACAAATTATATATATCTCTCTTGCTACCGTCATCCTTGAAGGAAATACAAATTTTGGGAAAAAATATCTTGTATAAGACTGAAAACCTTCATCTTCCACATGTCTAAAAGGTAACTCTGACAATATGAAGTACCTTGTAATCTGTTTTCTACCCTCTTTTTGAACAAACTTGACTGGTTCTTCATGACTACCAACATCCTTAGAACACTCACCAGTTTTAAACATACTATAACCTGTCATTCTCTTTTGCTTCTTGTCTTGTACACCATATGGATACTTCTTGCACAAATGCGTGATATGATTCCACAATGTACTAGTTCCGCAGTTTTTTGCATGATGCTTATATGTTTGTCCACAATAATTACATTCCACCTTCTCATCTTCTTGAATTTTAAAGTGATCCCACACCTCGGATCTTTTGTTTCCCTTTTTACCTTTTCTATCCACCTTCATATCTTCAGAATTATCCTCTAATGGAATTGCATTATCAACTTCTTCTAAAGTTGGATCCATATCTAAAATGTGATGTAAATATTAACAAGATTTTATTGAAATTAAACGATTAACAATATTTACCATACCAATAATGTATAATACATGCCAATAATCTCCTAACCTTATAAATTCAAGAAGCAAATAATCTATTTATAGCGAATGAAAAATTTAGAACACTCGTCCATCTCTAAAAATTGACCAGTACAGTGTATAATCAAAAAGTGTTATATCCCATAAACAATTAAACATATAAAATACCAGTGGACAAAAGCCAAACATCCCATTTTTCTTCATTTTCTATCCATGTGCATTCTTACTAATTTCAGTACACAAAACCAATCGAGAAACCTATGATATAGGTCAACACAATCTACAAAACAACGAGAAGCACGCAACAAAACAATTAAAATTAAAGTATGTGAAGTGCATTAATTTATATACCAAGAACATTTTGGGTATGAGTAGCACAAACAATCTCAGTCAGTTCTCAAGTCAGTACTTCGTTTAATTCCGTAAAGAACACTCCATCAGCTAAAAACTATAATTTTTGTATCACCAAAAAACACGATTAACATATCATCACCGCAAAAAAAATAAAATTGGTCGAAAACTAATAAATTTACTTACGAAAAGGTAGGCAAGCGGAAGTTGAAAATTGGTTGATAGGCTGGCGGAGGACAGAGGTTGTTTCGGCGGGCGTCGAACGACAGCGAGAGAGCATCAGGGCGAGGTTCCCCTCCCCACCTTAGATGGGGCAGGGTGGGGCGGAGTTATGCCCTATTTAACTGCCCCCTCCCCAAATTCACTGTTTGAAAACGCTAATATCCAAATTTAGTACTCGAAATAAATAATATTCGAAAATAAACAATTACAAATACAATTACATTGTAACTAAATTTCACTTCTTTATCCAAAAATAAATTTGATATTTTTTCATCTTTATAACTTCATTCATCGGCAGGTTCAGAGATTGTAGAAGATGGATCCTGAAAAACGAAAGAAACATTATACTCAATATCATCATAATAACTATGATTAAAATTTAAATTATGTGATAGATAAAATTACCTCCTCATCATTCATCTCGGAGTAACTTCCAAAATATGCAGACGGCGCAGAATTTGCTATTAATAAAATAAAATAATTAGTAATAAGAAAATTCATAAAAGAAGCAATATAAAAAGCAAATGTTTATATACATCGTACCGTGAATATCGGCCCATAACCAATCTTGAGCACACATTAAAGCCTCCAAAGTTTTGGGGTGTACTCTATTTCTATGTGGACTAACAAATCTAACACTAGTACTGAAAGCGGATTCGGATGCCACAATAGATACCGGGATGGCCAAAATATCTTTTGCAATTCGAGATAAAGTCGGATATTTGATTGAATTCACTTTCCACCACATCAATCTATCAAAATCATTTGACCGAGGCAATATAGGCTCATCCAAAAAAGTATCAAGCTCGGTTTTCACACTACTAAGAGCTTCAACATTAGAAACAAATTTATAAAAATCCGCCATGCGATCTGATTTATTATTAGCACTTGACGTCTCAGTTTGATAAGAAGAAGTAGAAGACTGAGTTACAGACCCACTCGCATCATTCTTTTTCTGATAATCATGCACCAACTTGCCACAAACTTGATATATTTTGTCAATCTCACTTGCAGCATTGTGATTAACAATACGAGGATAATAAAACTTAATTAACATCATCTTATACCTCGGATCCAACACTGTTGCTAAAGTCAAAACTCCATGAATATCGCTCCAATATTTATTAAACTTTTTCATCATACTGGTTGCCATCATTTGAACTTCCACGTAAGGAGATTCAAGCCACTCATACAACGACAGATTGATATCACAAACATTTGCAAATAAGAGATTAACAGTTGCATACTTTGTTCCTGAAAACAATTCAGTAACCTAAAAAAAACCTTTAACTTCTCACATATTTCTTTTGCTAAATCTCAATCACCATCACTAGGGAACCATTTATATCGTGACTCCCTCTGTTTCAAACGTGGAAAAATATCATTATAAATCTAAGTAGTACTAAGCATCAAATACGTCGAATTCCACATTGTTTTACAATCAAGCACCAATTTTTTCTCACAATCAATTTTCAATTGACGTGCAAAGAGCTCAAAATTTTCAGATCTCTTTGGCGTTGCTGTCCAATAAGCAACATTATCACGAATTTTCTCAACACTACCACTAATAATGTCCAACCCATCCTTCACAATAAGATTTAATATATGTACACAACACCTCATATGAAAAAAATTCATCATTCAGTACAAGAGAACAAGTACAAAGTTGACTTAACACAATACTGATCATTGCATCATTTGTCGTGCAATTATCTATGGTCAAAGTTAGTAACTTTCGATCAATATTCTAGTCCATCAAGGTACTCAATAGAGTTTCTGAAAGCACATCAACAGTATGTGGGCACGGCACATATATAAACTTGAGTTCATTCAAGAACAAATTAAATCAATTAAAAGAATATCATTTTGGTAAATTATGGGAACAAGTGAATGTAATGTTTTATTATACCTCATGATTCGACTCTGTAATTTCCACGCATCATCTATGAAATGAGCAATGATAACCATGAATCCTCTCTTTTGATTAGAAGAGGTCCACATGTCGGTAGTGATCGAAATTCGACTCTCAATCTTCTCAAGTGCAATCATATTTTTGGGTCTCTCGTATTCATAGATTTTCAAAATGTCACTCTTCAAAGTGTTGCAAGAAAGAACCTTAAACAATGGTTGTGGGTCGTGTAAGAACTCTCGAAATCCAATGTGATCAACCATAGACAAAGGATACTAATGTAAAATCACCATTTTTGAAAGACTATATCTACATTTATTTGGATCGAAAGAGTAAGTACCCATTGTGACCTTGCCACTTGTGGCATCCTTTTTGAAATTTAATGTTGCTTGGTGAATATTATCCTTATAACGGAATATACATCTCTTCAAATGATCATGCAAATGCTTTGTACCATTTTTTGTTTCACCCCCAACTGTTTCTTACAATGATTGCATATAACCTTTCATTTCTCACCAATTTTCTGTCTTTTGTAGTGCTTCCACACAGTTGAAGTCAATTTCCTCTTTCCAAATGATATTTCTCCAATATCACGCTCCTCATCACTTAGGTTTACTGTCTTTTCATCTGCATTTGGTAACAGTTCAACTGGATCTTCTTGCGGGATATTGCTCTCCGGTACATCGATCGTGCTATCTTCCTCGCGTATTGGTCCTAATTCAATACTTCCAACACTACTTGGGCCAGACATTTGTGTAAATAACAAACGACATCAGACACAACGAATTTATTGAAAAAAAGGATTTTCTGGCATACATCCATGTCTCAAGTTCGTTTCAATGATAACAAATTATTCTAAAGACTGTATTTTTAGCTAGTAGTTCTATATATTTGTTAACCAAAGTACAAAATTAATGGTAATTATAACTCGTTCTATACATTTTAGCTTACTTTATAGAAACCTCCAAATAAATAAGTGGATCAATTTTCCTCGTATAGCTCAAAAACTTCAGATCAAGAATTCTCTGCTAAATCGACACTGCAAACATGAAAAACATTAAAAGATCAAACCTCACTAAATATTTCAGTAGCCAGGGATCCAACAAACAACAATACAGGATAATGCTATCTAATGTTTAACTTCAGTTTAGATAGCAGTGATGTCCCACCTTGACTCTTCCAATACATTAAAATTGCATCTTAATTTTATTGGACAAGTCTAAATAGCTACTAAATAATAATACTTGGGAATGGTTTTGTAAACAAAATTGTTATATAAATAAAAGTTTCAAGCACCTAACAACAGATCAAATAAAATTACTTTTGACTTTTATTGGCATCCAAATTCAATTTTTCAAAATTAGCTTTATTGCCCATGAAAAAGTTGAAAGGAGATGAGGCTATGGAGTTTTCAAAG